GAATACTTGAGAACTTTGGATTCGGTGATTAAAGATCGAATTATTCCTTATGATGCGAATTATTTGATTGTTTCTTTGGGTGGTAAAATTTCAGTTTTTTTATTTAATAAGCAGGTGAAATTATTAAAAATAACTAATAGATACTGCTTAATTTTTGTTCAGTTGATACGTATAAAGATGACCCTATTGCCGGATTTGAAATCACAACTTTAGGCTATAGAAAAATTGGTGAGTTGATAAGGTCAATTGGATTACCCACACTCTTTGTTCTAGAAGGTGGGTACCATTTAGAAACCATAGGTGCTAATGTGGCAAATGTATTGATGGGGTTTGAAGATAGCGAGGTATTGATTTGATCTGATCTCTTATTTGATGCTTTGTACCGATTTGTTATATATTTCCGTTGATTTTATTTATTTATTTATTCATAATCTCATGATCATTTTCGTGCTAATATTTTTTTAATAATAAAATTAATTTTCTTTAAAGAATACGCTTAATAATGAACTTGTAAAATCTGAAAAGATATTTTTAAGTAATCTTTAAAAAAAAATGCGTGATACGTTTAACAATGTACTTTATCAATAATCAATTGACATTATGTCATAAATTTTGGTTATCTACTAGTCATATCTTGTGATAAATGATTTCAAACAACATTGATAAATTGTTAATTAATATAATCGTAAGTTATATCAATACAACTCTCCTATAATTATAATCAATCTGATAATAGAATGGAACAAAGTTATTCAATTATGCTTTGTGACAAATTAGAAATAGCCAATCCATCAAATAAATTTTTTTATGGAAATAGAATTATTATCGAAAATATCGAGATCAGAGGTTTTACTTACAATAATAAGTAATCCAAATACTGTAACTAGTTTAAATTCATTGATCCTGCTTTTTGAGCAAAAAAATAATTATATTATTATACATAAGCCCAATATTTAGTATTCAATAGATCAAATCCATAATAATCGAAATAACACTATCTTTCAAATGATTTTTTCAATAAATAAAATCACGAGTTTTCTCGTAAATATCTTCCGTAACTAGAGTAAGCACCTAAATTATTAATTATAAAATGTATTTAATACTATAATAAAAGTGTTTTGTTTTTTGTTATTTCTAATATTAAATTTATCGTTAAATCGAAGATGTTAAAAATAGCTGTAAATAGAATATAAATAACGAATAAATTTATATCAATGCTAACCATCACGCCTCTGCTTTTAATTTCATATCAGAAGGTCTTGATGGACGAATATTTTTGTGAAACGTGAAACAGTAGATTTGTTCTATGAATTCTGTCATACCTTTATTTTTCCAATGAACTCAAACGCTTCCCAAATGAAAAAATCGAACATCCTAAGGAAAGGAATAATTCTTCGTTGGAAGAAGGAAGTGAGTATGACAACTCATCCTTGTGAATTTTAAT